CCCCAAAACCCCAAAACCCCAAAACCCCAAAACCCCATTAAAAGGATTGAATACAATTGGGGGATAATGATTTATTAAGAAATATAACTTCTTACTAATATAGTAAGAAGCAATTACAAATCATAATAACAGATAATTCACAAGGGTGTTAATCATATTTATCTCTTATACTCTCATTGTTGTCTATCAGTATCAGTGGGAGAGAAAGCGCTAGTTCTTCCATGAGACTTTTCACTTGATGGGGTTGAAAGAATGTTATTCATAAGTGATGAGTCAAGACCACCTGAACCAAGACCTCCAATACCACCTACTGCTCCATGGGTGCTTCCACTCATAAAACCTCCACTAGAGCTAACGAATGACTTATCTACGCCACTGTCTTTACCAAGGTAGTTGGATCTCTCAGTTCCAGAACCATCTTTTCCAAAGACTGTATTAGAGAACAGACCAGCTAGGCCAGTTGATGGTTGTCCTCCGGCTCCTCCAGTAGGCTTAGCTCCAAACTAGCCTCCTCCCATTTTATTTAATATACTATGCCCAATTGTAGCAGCTTGATAATTGCTAGTATTGGCAGCAGCTTGGTACATATTCTTTCTACTATTTCTAAGATCGTTTTTATACTTTTCATTTTCCCTGAGCAGACTCTCAACTTTCTTTTCTAATCTTTATTGAGCCTCAATAGCATCTTCCTTCTAGCTCAATAAGTAGCTCTTCTCATGTTCCCATTTAGCTCTCTCTTTTTCAAAGCTAAGCATTTATTCAGTTTACTTGATTGTGACACTAGAGCCTTTGCCTTCAAGATCTCTCAGTTTTTATTTATAGGTTTCTCTCTCTTTGTCAAGGAGTCTTTAATATTCGATGATTTTATTATCTCTCTCATTCTTGAGTTGGTCTAGTTCCTCAGCCATCCTAGCTTCGTTTTCTAGAGCCTTCTCAAGCTTCTTTTCCAAACTGCCCTGCTCATTCTGTTTTGATCTATTGTTAAGTTCTGATTTTTCATGCAGTAGTTTGTTTTCTCTTTCAAGTTATTTGTTTTTATTCTAAAGTTCACTAACTAGTTGAGACTGTGACTCCTAGATCTCCTTGATGCGCTGCTAGAACTTAGTCTCTAGTTGGTTCATCATCATAGAGTGTGAAGACTCTCTCTTGTTCTTATCATCATTTTGCTGCTTTTAGAGAGACTCTACTGTTTATTGGAATTTACGCTGAGCATCGTCAAAGTCACGCTTAGCTGTGTCTCTTTATTGCTCTAAGAACTTGAATTTTCCTTCCCAGAGTGCCTTATCCTTATCGTAACTATTATTAACCTCTTGATATTATCTTTCTAGTTCATTGAACTCCCTCTTCCACTTTTCAACTTCTTCTTGAATCATAGCTTTGTCTCCATGAAGAGCAGCATTCAATTGCTCATTATCTGCTCTGAGTCTGGTGACTTCCTACTCGTAGTTCTTAAGCAGTTCCTTGTTCTGGTTTTCCAAGTTCTGGTACTTTTCAATCTGAACTGCGCGCTCTCTCTCAAACTAAGACATATTCTTGTTCAAGTTTGTCTCTAGATCCTTGAGGGCTTTACGTTTCTAGTCGTATTTTTAGTCAGTAGAATCTTTCTCAGCCTAGATGCGAGATACCTTTTCTTGCATATCTCGCTAAGATTCCTCTCTTTCAAATCTGAGTCTTTCATCATAGCGCTTGATAGTATCTTCTAACTATCTGCTGAGTTCATTGATTCTCTATTCTTGGAATTACAGTTATTAACTCTTTAGAGCCTTATCTCTCTCAAACTCAATCTTTTTTTGAGTTAACTCATCCAGAGTCTCTTAATGCTTGGCTCTCATTGCCTCAATCTTATCACTAAGATCATTCTTTTCACTGCTTGTCTCTGATCTCATTTCTGCTATGGCTTTCTCTTTGGAACCGACTTGTTGTATTAGAGTCTCTTTTTGGTTCTCAAGAGTGGTTATCGCTCTTTCCTTCCTGGTGATCTCAGCTGTGAGCTTCTCAATCTTGGAAATCAGCTCTTTCCTCTCTTCATTAAACTTATCGAGGTATTGTTCCATTTGAGTGTTGGACATGTTTTGCAACTTATTCAGAGCGTCCTTAGTCTCATTCAAGTACCTGTCGAGGGACTCAATCTGTTGCAGTTTGAGGCTAATGTCATGCTCCAATTGATTGATATAGTCTTACATCTAGTGCTCTTTTTCATTCCACTCATCTTGAGCCATAGCAGTATCCTCTTCGTATCTCTGCTACTCCTCTTTTAGCTTTTGCTCGTAGTCCTCAAGCATTTAATTGTAGCGTCTCTATGCTCTGTCCTTCTCTTCCATGATACGGCGTTCCAGTCTCTCTCTTTCTTGCTCATAATATATCTTTAGTTATGTCAACTACTCCTCACTCTTATTTTGCATCTCCTGGATCTATTCATCATGATCTCGAGTCTTGTCTTCAAGTTCTCTTTCTAATTCAAACAGTTTGATTTTGGTTCTTTCTTCAGACTCTTCCATTAACTTCATCTTTTAAGTATCTAGGTTCTTTATTTACTCTTGAGCACGGTTCTTCATATCTTCAGAACTCATCAACTGCTCCTTAAGTTGAGAGATTTCTTTTTGACTGTCCTCTTGATGGATTTTAAGTGAGAGTTCAAGTTCTTAATTGCGTTCAGTCAACTGATCAATGCTCTCAGTTAGTCGCCTTCTAATGCTTTCGTATTTCTACTCAAGTTCTTGATACTCGATTGCATGAGATTCCTTGATCTCCTGAACCCTTCGTGAGGCTTCCTCCTTGCCAATGACTGAGTCTCTCTCTCTACTTTGCAAATTTCTGATCATCTAATCATGAGCGGCCTTCTAATCGTCATTCTTAGTCCTCTCCTCCTTAAGTTAGAACTCATAGAACTCTTGTTTTTGCTTGAAGATTGCTTGATCTTTTTCCCATTTTTATTTGGCGATGTCAAAAGTTTCTTCAACTTATTTGATTTTGGCTTCAAGTTCTTGGATTCTTTCACCTTTAGTATTTTTTTCATCCTCTTAGACTTGCTTCATAAGATCAACCTCGTCATTATACTTCTTCTTTAAAACATCGTGCTGTCTTTGCAATTCAAGGAATTGATCTTTAGTTTTAGTAAGATCTCTCCTGTACTGGTTATTAGTCTCCTCAACTTTTTGGGTATCCTATTCGTACTTAGTCTCTAAGTCCTAATACTTAGATTCCCATTCAAACAGTAACTCAGACTGCTCTTCAGCCTTTTTATTCATGTCCTTGATCTATTACTCAAGTTTGGATTGAATATCCTTAACAGAATTGAAGTGCTCACGCTTTTGCTGCTTGACCTCAGCTGACAACTCCTTTTCCTTCTTTTATGCATCGTCTAATTGCCTTTCATAGAACTCAACTCTTTACTCTAGCAAAGCCTTTTGCTTGTCGAATTCACTTTCAGCAGACATTCTCTGTCTATGGATTTCCTTTTGCTGTTCCTCACTCTGTTGAAGCTTGTTCTTAGACTCATCCATCTGCCTCATGTGATCCTTTTTCATATGGTTGATCTTCTCGGTTAACTCAAGTTCAATTGACTCTCGTTCTTTCAAGATCTGTTGAAGATTCTCCTTCAGACTTTACTCCTTTGCTGAAATCTCTGCTCTCTCGATTTCTATTGTACGAATTTTATTCTCAAAGAAGTCAACTTTAGTTCTATATTCATCTCTTGACTCTTTAATTTCATTTTGAAGTTTCTTCAATGTTTCATCAGCAATCTACCTCTAAATCATAAGTTCATTAGTGATATTTTTAAAGAAAAATTCTGAAGCCTCAGCCAGAGCTTTCAAGCAAAACTCTGCTAGAATTTATCTTCTATTCGGTCCTGGAGGCCCATTTTCAAGGCAATACTGCTAGAAGTTTTTGAGCTCTTCACAAAGATCATAGATAGAGCCATACTCTTGGTTCTTTAGTTTCTTCTCAATAGAAACATAGTTATTTTACAAATAAATAATGCTTTGTTACTAAAATAATGGTTAATATATGTATCTTGGAAAATGCTTTTGAGTTCAAGGGTGTTATTGGATCAGGATGTTTGACTAAGTAGAATCACATGGATTGTCATAAAGAACGCAGCAAACATAAATTCATCATTTAATAACACCCTCGAATAATCTCAATAATTGACTAGTAAAAGATATACTATGTATCCTTTTTCTTAAATAGTCGTTAGAGTTTTTTTAATTTGAGTAAATTACTTACCTCAGCTTGTTTTTCATTTTCGATCCTTAGCTGATTAAATTTGTGTTTTATCTTATCTTTCAATTCAATAAGGAACTACCTTTGGACCTCTCCCACAGCTACTTTACTGAATTCATCCATTGCAAGTTTTTTAGCTTCAATATAGATTTCCTTCAACTCATCTTCAAATAGCGGAGATCTGATTTCAAAGTTATCAGAGAAACTTTTTTCGAACTTGTCGTAAGCCTCCTATTAAGCCTTTAAACACTCATTTTTGCAAATATAGCTCCAAGCCGACTCAATGTTTGGGACAGCGCCTTTATTTATGGCATCTACATATGAGAGACAGAGATTATAAAGCATGAGACCATTGAGCTTCTTGCCATGCATTAGCTTTGGCTTTATTCTGTTGATTACTTTGCGTCTAAGTTGCATGACTTAGTCGATAAATTCAGGCCTCAATTCCTCAAGATCCATTTTCTCCAAGTTTTGTAGATTTTCTTCTTTAGTCAATGGTCTGATCATTGTGCAGCAATCTCTCTCTTTGAAGAATGACTTAAGCATCCTACGAATACGATTCTTTTGTTCAACTCCATCTGAGAATCCCTTTTATGGTTGGAGCGCTTTTTCAAGATATTCTTTGGATGTCATTGGCTCACCTTCCATATCAATTAGCTATAAAGCAAAGTCTCTAACGACCCACATAAACGACGGGAAATACTAAGAATACTCCTCTGGGTCAACATCCTCCTGCAAGCCAGTTGATTTCAAATGAATGTGCTTGGTCAAGTTGATAACGAGTGAAAGATTTGAAAGTGCGTTCTCGTCAATTGATCCCACTGAGTTATAGATAAAAAAGGAAGAGATCAAGATAGCTAGAGAAAAGATACGCACATCATGGTTAGAGTCTTCATCCAAGGCTCCTAGACCTTCAGTGTCCAAAACCAGAACATTAATTGGGTCTCCTTCTGGTGTAAATCCTGAAATTGGTTTTCCCCATATCCATACTCCCTATACAATAGTGATTAGAAATTAAACGAAGATTATTGATATTCATCATGGTGGTTAATAAAATCTGTTACCTTTGTGCAAGGATTTATAGTAGGGCCAACTCCAAACCCACCAGATCTATTTAGCAACATACGATTTAGAAGGTAACTTTTGCCTGTTCTATACATACCTGCCACTGATATGATACCAAGAGGCCCCTGCAATTACTTAAGAAAATCTTATGCCTCTTCATTGATCTCAAATACTATTAACGATGATTATGATTAAAACCCGCAATTGCATTATTTATTTTAGAAATATAAGTGAAGATTAGATGGGAGGCTTACATCTTTTTTCTGGATTATATACAACGAAAGGAATAGCTTCCTCTCTGAAATTTCCATTAGTATTGTTCATTTCAAGGCGTTGATGTGTTTACTATTAGTTTGCCTTTACAATGTTTAAATTTTGAAATTATATAGATTAAATTTAGATTTCTATTCATTCACAGCTAGGAAATTTTCACTCGATGGGGTTTTGGGGTTTTGGGGAGATCGGACGAGCACACGTC